ATCCCCTCCTCTCTCCCCTTTGTTTTGAGTCATTTGACCAATCCCCTCCTCTCTCCTCTTTGTTTTGAGCCATTTGACCCAATCCCCTCCTCTCTCCCCTCTGTTTTGAGTCATTTGACCAATCCCCTCCTCTCTCCTCTTTGTTTTGAGTCATTTGACCAATCCCCTCCTCTCTCCTATTTGTTTTGAGTCATTTACCAATTCCCTCCCTCTCTCCTCTTTGTTTTGAGTCATTTAACAATCCCCTCCTCTCTCCCCTCTGTTTTGAGTTCATTTGACCATGCTCATCTCCCCTCCCCTCCCCTCCCTCCCTCCCTCCCTCCCTCCCCGTGTTTAAGCAGCTGCCAGTGGGGCGTGACAGTGCAGCACGGGGTGGGGCAAGGCTGATGCGCACGCCCACGTGGTAAGAGCGAACCGAACGATGCATGAATGTATGAACACAAAAGCAAAACAATGTACTAGGCACATAAAATCATGTGCCTTCTCATTCCCTCAAGGTGCCTTGCCGTTCCCTGCATGATGGCCTCTCATTCCTTGCATGATGCCATTTTCCTCCCCTTTTCCAGCATGTGCCCGCAGCAAGGCATAATGTTTTGAGGTGTCACACTCAACACCTCCCCTCTGTCCTCCCGTTTCCAGCAGGTGCCAGTGCAGCGCATGTTGATTGAAGAGTTCTCACTCACCCCTCCCCTCTTTCCTCCCAAATTTCCTGTTTGTTTGTTTGTTTGTTTGTTTGTTTGTTTTAGTTTGTTTTGCTTGCTTTTTGTTGTTCCTGTGTGCATTCTTTGCTCAAGGGGGGGTGTAAGGGGGCATGGGGAACTGTGAGACGTCCAAACCACCCTCTCCCCTCCCCTTTCTGCCAGCTGCCAGTGCAGCGCCTGCCCATTTGAGCTTGTCTCACCCCCCCCTCCCCTCTTTCCCCACTTTCCCCCTTCTGCCAGGTGCCTTCTCATGCCCTGCAAGTGCCTTCGCATGTTGCACGGTGCCTTCACATGCCCTGCATGGTGCCTGTTCATGCCCTGGCTGGTGGGTTTCATTCCCTGCATGGTGCCTTCTCATTTCCTGCCAGGTAAGGGGTAGGGGGTTTAGGGTGCTCCCCCCGCTCACTTGCCCTGCTCCCCCCTCACTTGCTCTGCTCTCCCCCCCCAACTCCTCCCCTCCCCTTGCGCAGGTGCCAGTTTCTCCTGTCGCCAAGATGAAGATACTTTGGCACAGGGAGCAGATGCGTTGCCAGCTGCTTGTGCTGGGCCGTCCCTCATTCATCCATGCGCGGGACATGAGAGAGAACAAGGGAGAGAAACAGAAGCAGGAGGAGGGAGCGCAGCGCCATGCCATGCTGCATGGCCCACCAAACCGCCCCAGGTGCGTTGTGAGTCGCCCCAGAGCATGCACTGCACACCTTGCCATATCCCTCACACCTGCCATCCCACCATGCCCTCACACCTCCTGCCATCCCCTCACTTGCCCTGCTCCCCCCGCTCACTTGCTCCGCTTCCCCTCTCCCCCACCCCAACTCCCCCCCTCCCCTTGCGCAGGTGCCAGCTTCCCTCCTGTCGCCAAGACGAAGACACTTGGCTTGCAATGTGTAGAGTGGTAGGGATTGATGATCTGATTACGTTAGGAACATAATTTATGAGCCTGTTATTATATGTGCAGGGGGATGGGGGGAGTGCAGGTTTGGTTTGGGCCAGGTTTGGGATATGAAAGAGTGGCAGAAACGGAAACAGGGAGTAGATGTGTTGCCACCTGCTTGTGTTCAGCCATGCGCAGGGCAGGACATGAGGGAGAAGAAGAGAGAGAAACAGACGCACAAGGAGGGAGCGCATGTGCCATTTTCTCCTGTCGACAACACGAGGCTATTTGCTACGACGCGTAGAGTGATAGATGACTTAGCGAATATGAATGTATGTGCTTGTTCTTATATACGCAGGCGGGCAGAGAAAGGGGGAGGGGTGAGGAAAGGGAGGGGAGTGGGGAGCAGAAGCAGAACAGAAGAGGGAGTGGTGGATGAGCTCCTGGCTCTCTGTGCTGTGCGCCCCTCCCTGGTTGGCCATGCCATCCATGCCATGCCATGCCCCGGAGGGATATGATAGATAGGAAGCACAAAGTAGAAGCAGAAGCAGGAATGTGATATGACAGGGAGCAGATATGCATCATGGGCATGCCCAGGGATTTCCAGGGCGTTCGAGGGGGGCTGTGAGGGGCTGTGAGGAGAATTGGGGGTAGTAGGGGGCCTTAGGGGGGCCTTGGGGGGGCTGTGGGGGGGTTTTTTTCAGGATTTTAGGGGGGTTTTCTTCCCCTCTCTTGTACCCCATTTCTGCTTATTAACCAATCACAAGCAAGTTTTCTGCCATCACCTTTCCGATTACGCTCATGTTGTCGCCTTGCGCCGCCTGAGGAGGGGGAGGGGAGTAAGGGGGAAGGGAGAGGAGAGCAGAAGGGAGAGCAAGGGGGGATGAGAGAGACGATATGCGCTGCTTGTTTTGATTTGCACACAGAAGGAGAGTGTGAGAAGGAGAGTGAGAGAAGGAGGGTGTGAGAAGGAAGTGTGAGAAGGAGTGCCATACAGTGAAGTACTCGGGTATCTTGGGCACTGCAAAGCAGAAGCGTTGCAAGGAATGTGATCCGATGATCCAGGTGGTCCGGGGCGTCCTCCTGAACTACGTATGTCAAGATGTTTGCCAGAGTGGGAGCCAGGGCATGTATGTAAGGGGTGGTGTATGTAGGGGTGGCAGGGCAGGTGCAAACGTAGGGGATAATGAGTGACAGAAACTGAAGGGAGAGTGAGAATTGAATCAAAGCGGGGGAGAAAGAAGTAAACTGGCACAAGTTCACTACAGGTAGGCAGGATAAGTGACCAGCACAGGGGGGTGAAGTGACAAGGGCAGGGGGGTGAAGTGACAAGGGCAGGGGGGTGAAGTGACAAGGGCAGGGGGTGAAGTGACAAGGGCAGGGGGGTGAAGTGACAAGGGCAGGGGGTGAAGTGACAAGGGCAGGGGGGTGAAGTGATGAGACGTGCTTTCCTCACACCCACTGCCCCACACCCACTGCCCCACACCCACTGCCCCACACCCACTGCCCCACAGACCACTGCCCCCCACCCACTGCCTCACTCCCCTGCCCCACACCCACTGCCCCACACCCACTGCCCCACACCCACTGCCTCACACCCACTGCCCCCACCACTGCCCCACACCCCTGCCCCACCACCCTGCCCCACACCCACTGCCCACACCCACTGCCCCACACCCACTGCCCCACACCTTAGTTGGTATTGTACGTTTACGGTGGTTTACGTTTACGTGACTTTACGTAGTAACTTACGTTTACTTACGTGGGCTAAAAATGGCTTTACTTTTCGGTCAGCTAAAACAGTTCTAACTGCCCGGAAATATAAGAAATCATCGGACTAAGTGCTGCATGGGAAGCACCTAATCTATCACTAGCTTGGTTCTTCTACGCCCAAGCATGTTAGCACATTATTACATCAACTTACAGATGCCCCAAATCTACACAACCATGTAGCAGCCTCCCCACCTCATATCAGTCAATTTTTTCGTTTCGCGGCAAAAAAACTTTTTTTGCCCTGCCCGTGCGACTTTACGTAAAATTACACGTAAGAAAACGTAAAGGTAACTCAAGCGTAAGTTTACGTTTACGTGACCCCAAAAAAACGTAAAGTACCAACTAAGCCCCACACCCACTGCCCCACACCCACTGCCCCACACCCACTACCCCACACCCACCGAGTGGCTGACTGCTGGGTGGCCTTGGCATGCCGCAGCACCGCCTCTGCCAACTCACACGGCGACACCCTTCCCTGCTCTCCCCCTGCCTCCCTTTCTCCCCCTCCCTCTCCCTGTCCCTCCTTCTCCGGTTCCTTCTCTCCTCCTCCTGTACCTCTTCCCTCCTGCTCTTTCTCCTGCTCCTTTTCCCCGGCCTTATCCCCTCCTTCCCCTCCTTGTCTCCTTCACCCTTCTCCTCCTCCTTTTCCCCTTCCTCCGTCTTCCCCACCTCCTCCTTCTCACCCTCCTCCTCCTTCTCCTCTCCCTCCTCCAACTGCTTTCCTCCCTTCTCTCCCTTCCCCCCCTTCCTGGCATCCTCTCTAATCCTCACGAACAGCAGTGCCTTGCACCCAGACTCCACACTCACGAACCGAGGCTGAGGGACGTCAAGGGGCGGGCGAATGGTAGGGGCAAGGGGAGGGAGAAAAGACGAGTGGAGGGAGAAAGACGAGCGGAGGGAGAGGAGACGTGATTGGAAATTGCACTGAGCATTCTCACGAACAGCAGCGCCTTGCACCCAGAGTCCACACTCGCAAACCAAGGCTGTGGGATGTCGAGGGGAGGGCGAACAGCAGGGGCAAGGGGAGGGAGAAAGACGAGCAGAGAAAGGGGAGTGAGAGGGAGAGGGAGGGGTGATGATGGATCCTCAGAAACAGCGGCGCCTTGCACCTAGACTCCACACTCACAAACCGAGGCTGAGAGGGAAGGGGAGGGACAAGACGAGGGACAAAGGAAAAAAAAAAAAAAACGTTTTTTCTCAAACAGCAGTGCCTTGCACCCAGACTCCACACTCACAAACCGAGGCTGAGGGATGTCAAGGGGCGGGGCGAACAGGAGGGGCGAGGGGAGGGCAAACGGTAGGGGCAAGGGGAGGGAGAAAGACGATGGGAGAGAGAGGAGGAGCGATAAGGGTTTTCCACTTAGCATTCTCGCAAACAGCGGCGCCTTGCAGCCAGCAAGAGTCCAAACAGCAGCGCCTTGCAGCCAGCGAGACTCCACACCCGAAGTGAGACCAGGTGAGAGCGTTCAGTCAGGTGACTTTTGAGTCGACTCAAAAGTCACCAGGTGAGAGCGTTCAGGACAAGGGGAGGGACAAGACGAGGGGCAAGGGAGGAAGAGGGAGGGAAAAGAGGATTGCGAGAGAGGGAAGTGATGGGTGTTTGTGCTGGGCATTTATGCGAACAGCAGCGCCTTGCACCCAGACTACACACTCATGAACCGAGGCTGAGGGGCATGCACAAGGAAGGGAGGGAGAAGAGAAAGGAGGGAACAAGGAGGCGAGGATGCACAAGGGGAACAAAACAGGGGCACCTGGTAGCCTGAGACGTCTCAAAACAGGGGCACCTGGTAGCCTGAGACGTCTCAAAACAGGGGCACCTGGTAGCCTGAGACGTCTCAAAACAGGGGCACCTGGTAGCCTGAGACGTCTCAAAACAGGGGCACCTGGTAGCCTGAGGTCACGATTGCAATCGAGCCTGGGGGACACAGGGAGAGGGAGGGATACGAGGGGAGGGAGTGGGAGGGAGATAAGGGGAGGGTGAAGGAACAACAAGGGGAAAGGAGGGAAAAGGCACCCACCTACCCATCCCACGCACCTGTGAGCCGCTGCAAAACACACACACCTGTTTCCTCAACCCCCTCTCCACACGCACGCACCTGTTTCTTGAGTGCTGCCACTTCATTCGCCAGCAGCGCATCGATGGACGAACCCCCCTTCGCCTTCCCTGCAGATGCACCTTCCCCAGTCCGTGCCTCCCCCTCCCCCTCCCCCTGCGCCTTGCCAGCCTCCAGCTTGTCACACCACTGTGTGTGGGGCAAACAGGGATAAAGCAACATCATCTCAGTCAGATAAGCCCTCCCCAGCCACCTTCCCCAGTGCTTGCCTCCCCCTCAGCCCGCACCTTCATGGGCACCAGATTGTCGCTCAACGGTGTGTGGGGCAAGCAGTGGAGATGGAAGGAGTAGGAACAACATCAGCTCAGTTAGAAAAGCCCTCCCCAGCCACCTTCCCCAGTGCTTGCCTCACCCTATCCGTTCCTCTGCGCCTTGCTGCCTCCAGCTTGTCACACCACTGTGTGTGGGGCGAACAGAGGAGAAAGCAACATCAGCTCAGTCAGATAAGCCCTCCCCAGCCACCTTCCCCAGTGCTTGCCTCCCCCTCAGCCCGCGCCTTCACGGGCACCAGCTTGCCGCCGCACAACGGCGTGTGGGGCAAGCAGGGGAGATGGAAGGAAGAAAAGCAAAAACAGCTCAGTCAGATAGGCCCTCCACAACCACTTTCCCCAGTGCTTGCCCAGTCATCTATCTACCTACCCTCCAGGTTCTATCGTTTGCCTGTGCGCTCCACTCACCTCCTTGCCACCTCACCTCATCAAGCTGATCCCCTGTGCATGTCACCTCACAAGCTGATCTCCTGATCACCTCTTACCACCCCCCCCCACCCCTCCTCTCCCTCACTGTGTGCTCGTGCCTCACCTCATCGAGCACGTTCACAATCTCCCGCCCGCACTCTCTCTCCCTGCCGGTCACACTCGACACCAGCCACCCCCTGCTGCCATTCGCGATAGGGCCCGCTCCCCCTCCACTCTGAGGCGCACGAGAGGGAGGCGCAGAAGAGGGAAGGAGGAGGATCAAAGGAACAATTTACTTTGTTTCGACTCCAACAACAACAAGCCCGCACTCTCTCTCCCTGCTGGTCACACTCTACACCAGCCACCCCCTGTTGCCATTCGCGATGGGGCCCGCTCCCCCTCCACTCTGAGGCGCACGAGAGGGAGGAGCAGAAGGGGGAGGGGCACGAGGGGGAGGGGCGGAGCAGAAGGAGCAGAGGGGGGAGGAGCAGAAGACGGAGGAGCAGAGGGGGGAGGAGAAGAATGGGGAGGAGGAGAAGGGGGAGGAGGAGAAATGAGGGAGGGGAGAAGGGTGAGGAGGAACAGCAGGTGGGGGCACAGAAGGGAGAGGAGGAGAGGAGCAGAAGGGGGGGGAGCAGAAGTAAGAAACGGTTGCAAACCACCTCCAATCCCTCCCCCTGCCAGCCCCCTTGCTGCCATACATTCTGGGCGCCGCCTTCTCCCCATTCTGGATCATAGGGTTTAGGGTGAAGGAGCAAAGGAAGAAACAATCGATCCTTCACCTGCACTCTCGCTCCCTGCCTGCTGCTGCCCGCCGCCACTTCGAAAGAGGAGATCGAGGTTGGGGTTTTGGGTGCATGGGAGAGAGCGAGCAACAACAAAGGGTTTCGGGTTTTGGGTGCATGGGAGAGAGCGAGCAACAACCAAGAGTTTCGGGTTTTGGTTGCATGGCAACGGAGATTCGTGGGCCGGGATGTGGGAGGGAAGAGAGACGGCGGGGGTGGGGGGAGGGGAAGGGGGACAGCAGGGGTGGGGGGAGGGGAAGGGGGACAGCGGGCGACACGGGCCGGACGGGTGAGGACCAGAGGAGAGAGGCGACGGCGGGAAAATCCGCTCTGTGTAAGACCAAGTGCTCAAAGCGATATCAGGACCAGAGGGGAGAGGCGACAGCGGAAAAATCTGCTCTGTGTAAACCTAAGTGATCAAGGCGATCTGAGGACCAGAGGGGAGAGGCGGCGCCGTGGGAGCACACGATGGGAGGAGGAGAAGAGAAGGGGGGAGGGAAGACGGAGGTGTGTGCGCGAGCGGGAGGAGAGGGCACGAAAGGAAAGGGGGGGAAGGGGTTGAAGAGGAAGGGCGGGAAGTGGGGCGGATCGGGCTGGTGAGCGCACGCCGCCGCGGAGATCACAGCGGCGACGCCGCCAAGATCATAGCAGCGGCGACGCGCAACGGATGCTGCCGCGACTCGCGACCGAAACGCGACTGAACGCGCCTGCAGAATTGTCGCTGATTATCGTCGTTATTCGTCTGTCAGCCAAGAAAAACATTGGTACACGCCTGCCGGCGGTTTATGTTGACTAATGCGTCGCGACATAAGTTTAAAGGCTCACAGCGTTCAGGTATCGCGACTTGTGCCGCTTCGATTTCCCCCGACCTCCATTACCGCTCCGATTGCCCTCCGCCTCGCGCTTTCCGCGACCCATGTGCGATTGTATGGCCGTGGCTACTGATCAAACGAAGGAAACGCTCAATGGCTGATTTTCACAACCAACAATTGATGCAATTAAAACGAATGTCTCTCAGGACCTGTAGCACAAACCTCCAATCATAGATTATAAGCGGGGTTCAGTGCCCGCCTGGTCCTTTTGTTTTATCCACCTCTCAAGGCTCCGTTTCCATTCAAATCTTATCTAAAGGTGTTTTCTTACTGCTCTGGGGCATTCTTCTTTCATATCATACTCGTCGTCGCATCCCTTCTTGTTGTAAGCCTCAGCCATCTTGACTGGTTTTTTCCGGACGTGCTTGTCGTCTACACCTTCGTTGTGTTGCTTCGTTGGTGTAGAAGATTTTTCTTTACTGGCACACCTCGACCACCACACTGGCACGCCCCATGCCCTGTCACCTCACCCATGTGCTCTACAGCAGGGCTACTGGCGTCACGCCCCACCACCAGCACCAGGCTATCAGCAGCGAGTCCAGCACCCACACACCCCGTGCCCTGCTCTGCTGCAACACTCACCTGCTCTGCCGCACCACTCACCTGCTCTGCTGCACCACTCACCTGCTCTGCTGCACCACTCACCTGCTCTGCCGCACCACTCACCTGCTCTGCCGCACCACTCACCTGCTCTGCTGCACCACTCACCTGCTCTGCTGCACCACTCACCTGCTCTGCTGCACCACTCACCTGCACTGTCGCACCACTCACCTGCTCTGCTGCACCACTCACCTGCTCTGCCGCACCACTCACCTGCTCTGCCGCACCACTCACCTGCTCTGCTGCACCACTCACCTGCTCTGCCGCACCACTCACCTGCTCTGCCGCACCACTCACCTGCTCTGCCGCACCACTCACCTGCTCTGCCGCACCACTCACCTGCTCTGCCGCACCACTCACCTGCTCTGCTGCACCACTCACCTGCTCTGCTGCACCACTCACCTGCTCTGCCGCACCACTCACCTGCTCTGCTGCACCACTCACCTGCTCTGCCGCACCACTCACCTGCTCTGCTGCACCACTCACCTGCTCTGCTGCACCACTCACCTGCTCTGCTGCACCACTCACCTGCTCTGCTGCACCACTCACCTGCTCTGCCGCACCACTCACCTGCTCTGCCGCACCACTCACCTGCTCTGCTGCACCACTCACCTGCTCTGCTGCACCACTCACCTGCTCTGCTGCACCACTCACCTGCTCTGCTGCACCACTCACCTTCTCTGCCGCACCACTCACCTGCTCTGCTGCACCACTCACCTGCTCTGCTGCACCACTCACCTGCTCTGCTGCCACCACTCACCTGCTCTGCCGCACCACTCACCTGCTCTGCCGCACCACTCACCTGCTCTGCCGCACCACTCACCTGCTCTGCCGCACCACTCACCTGCTCTGCCGCACCACTCACCTGCTCTGCTGCACCACTCACCTGCTCTGCTGCACCACTCACCTGCTCTGCCGCACCACTCACCTGCTCTGCTGCACCACTCACCTGCTCTGCCGCACCACTCACCTGCTCTGCCGCACCACTCACCTGCTCTGCTGCACCACTCACCTGCTCTGCTGCACCACTCACCTGCTCTGCTGCACCACTCACCTGCTCTGCTGCACCACTCACCTGCTCTGCTGCACCACTCACCTGCTCTGCTGCACCACTCACCTGCTCTGCTGCACCACTCACCTGCTCTGCTGCACCACTCACCTGCTCTGCTGCACCACTCACCTGCTCTGCTGCCACCACTCACCTGCTCTGCTGCACCACTCACCTGCTCTGCTGCACCACTCACCTGCTCTGCCGCACCACTCACCTGCTCTGCCGCACCACTCACCTGCTCTGCTGCACCACTCACCTGCTCTGCCGCACCACTCACCTGCTCTGCCGCACCACTCACCTGCTCTGCCGCACCACTCACCTGCTCTGTTGCACCACTCACCTGCTCTGCCGCACCACTCACCTGCTCTGCCGCACCACTCACCTGCTCTGCCGCACCACTCACCTGCTCTGCTGCACCACTCACCTGCTCTGCTGCACCACTCACCTGCTCTGCTGCACCACTCACCTGCTCTGCTGCACCACTCACCTGCTCTGCTGCACCACTCACCTGCTCTGCTGCACCACTCACCTGCTCTGTCGCACCACTCACCTGCTCTGCTGCACCACTCACCTGCTCTGCTGCACCACTCACCTGCTCTGCTGCACCACTCACCTGCTCTGCCGCACCACTCACCTGCTCTGCTGCACCACTCACCTGCTCTGCTGCACCACTCACCTGCTCTTCTGCACCACTCACCTGCTCTGCCGCACCACTCACCTGCTCTGCCGCACCACTCACCTGCTCTGCTGCACCACTCACCTGCTCTGCTGCACCACTCACCTGCTCTGCTGCACCACTCACCTGCTCTGCTGCACCACTCACCTGCTCTGCCGCACCACTCATCTGCTCTGCCGCACCACTCACCTGCTCTGCTGCACCACTCACCTGCTCTGCTGCACCACTCACCTGCTCTGCCGCACCACTCACCTGCTCTGCTGCACCACTCACCTGCTCTGCCGCACCACTCACCTGCTCTGCCGCACCACTCACCTGCTCTGCCGCACCACTCACCTGCTCTGCCGCACCACTCACCTGCTCTGCCGCACCACTCACCTGCTCTGCCGCACCACTCACCTGCTCTGCCGCACCACTCACCTGCTCTGCCGCACCACTCACCTGCTCTGCCGCACCACTCACCTGCTCTGCCGCACCACTCACCTGCTCTGCCGCACCACTCACCTGCTCTGCCGCACCACTCACCTGCTCTGCCGCACCACTCACCTGCTCTGCCGCACCACTCACCTGCTCTGCCGCACCACTCACCTGCTCTGCCGCACCACTCACCTGCTCTGCCGCACCACTCACCTGCTCTGCCGCACCCCTCACCTGCTCTGCCGCACCACTCACCTGCTCTGCCGCACCACTCACCTGCTCTGCCGCACCACTCACCTGCTCTGCTGCACCACTCACCTGCTCTGCTGCACCACTCACCTGCTCTGCCGCACCACTCACCTGCTCTGCTGCACCACTCACCTGCTCTGCCGCACCACTCACCTGCTCTGCCGCACCACTCACCTGCTCTGCTGCACCACTCACCTGCTCTGCTGCACCACTCACCTGCTCTGCCGCACCACTCACCTGCTCTGCCGCACCACTCACCTGCTCTGCTGCACCACTCACCTGCTCTGCTGCACCACTCACCTGCTCTGCTGCACCACTCACCTGCTCTGCTGCACCACTCACCTGCTCTGCTGCACCACTCACCTGCTCTGCTGCACCACTCACCTGCTCTGCTGCACCACTCACCTGCTCTGCTGCACCACTCACCTGCTCTGCTGCACCACTCACCTGCTCTGCTGCACCACTCACCTGCTCTGCTGCACCACTCACCTGCTCTGCTGCACCACTCACCTGCTCTGCCGCACCACTCACCTGCTCTGCTGCACCACTCACCTGCTCTGCTGCACCACCTGCTCTGCCGCACCACTCACCTGCTCTGCCGCACCACTCACCTGCTCTGCCGCACCACTCACCTGCTCTGCCGCACCACTCACCTGCTCTGCCGCACCACTCACCTGCTCTGCTGCACCACTCACCTGCTCTGCCGCACCACTCACCTGCTCTGCTGCACCACTGACCTGCTCTGCTGCACCACTCACCTGCTCTGCCGCACCACCCACCTGCTCTGCCGCACCACTCACCTGCTCTGCCGCACCACTCACCAGCTCTGCCCGCACCACTCACCTGCTCTGCTGCACCACTCACCTGCTCTGCCGCACCACTCACCTGCTCTGCCGCACCACTCACCTGCTCTGCTGCACCACTCACCTGCTCTGCCGCACCACTCACCTGCTCTGCTGCACCACTCACCTGCTCTGCCGCACCACTCACCTGCTCTGCCGCACCACTCACCTGCTCTGCTGCACCACTCACCTGCTCTGCCGCACCACTCACCTGCTCTGCCGCACCACTCACCTGCTCTGCCGCACCACTCACCTGCTCTGCCGCACCACTCACCTGCTCTGCCGCACCACTCACCTGCTCTGCCGCACCACTCACCTGCTCTGCCGCACCACTCACCTGCTCTGCCGCACCACTCACCTGCTCTGCCGCACCACTCACCTGCTCTGCCGCACCACTCACCTGCTCTGCCGCACCACTCACCTGCTCTGCCGCACCACTCACCTGCTCTGCCGCACCACTCACCTGCTCTGCCGCACCACTCACCTGGCTCTGCCGCACCACTCACCTGCTCTGCCGCACCACTCACCTGCTCTGCCGCACCACTCACCTGCTCTGCCGCACCACTCACCTGCTCTGCCGCACCACTCACCTGCTCTGCCGCACCACTCACCTGCTCTGCTGCACCACTCACCTGCTCTGCTGCACCACTCACCTGCTCTGCTGCACCACTCACCTGCTCTGCTGCACCACTCACCTGCTCTGCTGCACCACTCACCTGCTCTGCTGCACCACTCACCTGCTCTGCTGCACCACTCACCTGCTCTGCTGCACCACTCACCTGCTCTGCCTGCACCACTCACCTGCTCTGCCGCACCACTCACCTGCTCTGCTGCACCACTCACCTGCTCTGCCGCACCACTCACCTGCTCTGCCTGCACCACTCACCTGCTCTGCCGCACCACTCACCTGCTCTGCCGCACCACTCACCTGCTCTGCCGCACCACTCACCTGCTCTGCCGCACCACTCACCTGCTCTGCCGCACCACTCACCTGCTCTGCTGCACCCACTCACCTGCTCTGCCGCACCACTCACCTGCTCTGCCGCACCACTCACCTGCTCTGCCGCACCACTCACCTGCTCTGCCGCACCACTCACCTGCTCTGCCGCACCACTCACCTGCTCTGCCGCACCACTCACCTGCTCTGCCGCACCACTCACCTGCTCTGCCGCACCACTCACCTGCTCTGCCGCACCACTCACCTGCTCTGCCGCACCACTCACCTGCTCTGCTGCACCACTCACCTGCTCTGCCGCACCACTCACCTGCTCTGCCGCACCACTCACCTGCTCTGCCGCACCACTCACCTGCTCTGCCGCACCACTCACCTGCTCTGCCGCACCACTCACCTGCTCTGCCGCACCACTCACCTGCTCTGCCGCACCACTCACCTGCTCTGCCGCACCACTCACCTGCTCTGCCGCACCACTCACCTGCTCTGCCGCACCACTCACCTGCTCTGCCGCACCACTCACCTGCTCTGCCGCACCACTCACCTGCTCTGCCGCACCACTCACCTGCTCTGCCGCACCACTCACCTGCTCTGCTGCACCACTCACCTGCTCTGCCGCACCACTCACCTGCTCTGCTGCACCACTCACCTGCTCTGCCGCACCACTCACCTGCTCTGCCGCACCACTCACCTGCTCTGCCGCACCACTCACCTGCTCTGCCGCACCACTCACCTGCTCTGCTGCACCACTCACCTGCTCTGCTGCACCACTCACCTGCTCTGCTGCACCACTCACCTGCTCTGCTGCACCACTCACCTGCTCTGCTGCACCACTCACCTGCTCTGCTGCACCACTCACCCTGCTCTGCTGCACCACTCACCTGCTCTGCTGCACCACTCACCTGATCTGCCCGCACCACTCACCTGCTCTGCCGCACCACTCACCTGCTCTGCTGCACCACTCACCTGCTCTGCTGCACCACTCACCTGCTCTGCTGCACCACTCACCTACTCTGCCGCACCACTCACCTGCTCTGCTGCACCACTCACCTGCTCTGCCGCACCACTCACCTGCTCTGCCGCACCACTCACCTGCTCTGCCGCACCACTCACCTGCTCTGCCGCACCACTCACCTGCTCTGCCGCACCACTCACCTGCTCTGCTGCACCACTCACCTGCTCTGCCGCACCACTCACCTGCTCTGCTGCACCACTCACCTGCTCTGCCGCACCACTCACCTGCTCTGCCGCACCACTCACCTGCTCTGCCGCACCACTCACCTGCTCTGCCGCACCACTCACCTGCTCTGTCGCACCACTCACCTGCTCTGCCGCACCACTCACCTGCTCTGCCGCACCACTCACCTGCTCTGCTGCACCACTCACCTGCTCTGCCGCACCACTCACCTGCTCTGCTGCACCACTCACCTGCTCTGCCGCACCACTCACCTGCTCTGTCGCACCACTCACCTGCTCTGCCGCACCACTCACCTGCTCTGCCGCACCACTCACCTGCTCTGCTGCACCACTCACCTGCTCTGCTGCACCACTCACCTGCTCTGTCGCACCACTCACCTGCTCTGCTGCACCACTCACCTGCTCTGGCGCACCACTCACCTGCTCTGCCGCACCACTCACCTGCTCTGCTGCACCACTCACCTGCTCTGCCGCACCACTCACCTGCTCTGCTGCACCACTCACCTGCTCTGCTGCACCACTCACCTGCTCTGCTGCACCACTCACCTGCTCTGCTGCACCACTCACCTGCTCTGCTGCACCACTCACCTGCTCTGCTGCACCACTCACCTGATCTGCCGCACCACTCACCTGCTCTGCCGCACCACTCACCTGCTCTGCTGCACCACTCACCTGCTCTGCTGCACCACTCACCTGCTCTGCTGCACCACTCACCTGCTCTGCCGCACCACTCACCTGCTCTGCTGCACCACTCACCTGCTCTGCCGCACCACTCACCTGCTCTGCCGCACCACTCACCTGCTCTGCCGCACCACTCACCTGCTCTGCCGCACCACTCACCTGCTCTGCCGCACCACTCACCTGCTCTGCTGCACCACTCACCTGCTCTGCCGCACCACTCACCTGCTCTGCTGCACCACTCACCTGCTCTGCCGCACCACTCACCTGCTCTGCGCACCACTCACCTGCTCTGTCGCACCACTCACCTGCTCTGCCGCACCACTCACCTGCTCTGCCGCACCACTCACCTGCTCTGTCGCACCACTCACCTGCTCTGCCGCACCACTCACCTGCTCTGCCGCACCACTCACCTGCTCTGCTGCACCACTCACCTGCTCTGCTGCACCACTCACCTGCTCTGCCGCACCACTCACCTGCTCTGCTGCACCACTCACCTGCTCTGCCGCACCACTCACCTGCTCTGTCGCACCACTCACCTGCTCTGCCGCACCACTCACCTGCTCTGCCGCACCACTCACCTGCTCTGCTGCACCACTCACCTGCTCTGCTGCACCACTCACCTGCACTGTCGCACCACTCACCTGCTCTGCTGCACCACTCACCTGCTCTGCCGCACCACTCACCTTCTCTGCCGCACCACTCACCTGCTCTGCTGCACCACTCACCTGCTCTGCCGCACCACTCACCTGCTCTGCTGCACCACTCACCTGCTCTGCTGCACCACTCACCTGCTCTGCTGCACCACTCACCTGCTCTGCTGCACCACTCACCTGCTCTGCTGCACCACTCACCTGCTCTGCTGCACCACTCACCTGCTCTGCTGCACCACTCACCTGCTCTGCTGCACCACTCACCTGCTCTCGGGCATCTCTGCACCCCCTAAACCTCCTTAACAACTGAGGCTCAACACCCTTTCTCTTCCTTGCACCTCCATCACTCCCTCTATGTCGCTCGCTGCCCTTCGTGTCTCTCTCTTTCTATCCCAGCCCAATGGTGGAAGTGAAGCTTGTCCCGGTCAGCATCCAACCAATCAATCTGTTGGCGTAACCACGGTGCTGAATGGCGAAAATCGGTCACACTTGACGATCAGTCGAGCAAGAGCGATTGTCCCCGGCGAGACGATATCAACGGCTCTCTTTGCGCGGGCAAAGAAAAAGGTCGGTCGTACGAGTGCGTACGCGTTGGTGCATGTACGGTTATGTACATATGCGTCGCGTACGAGTGTGTACGGTAGGTAGACGCACTACGTGCATGAAGGCATACGTACGCATGCATACGTATGTCTACGCGCATCTAGGTTAAACAGGTAGGTACCAGACATGCGAGTATTCATGCGTATACGCATGCAGATGCGCACGTTCCTTAATATTCAGCTCATTATTCCAGAGCTAATTTGTCATTGATTTGTTGACCTACATGCATAAGCTCCAGATTACACAAATAGATTTGTCAACTAATATGTGTAGCTTGTAAATCAGCAAAATCAATTCTGTTTACTGCCATGTGGAAAGCTGTAGTTTTGCAAGATACTGTTTTGCTGTTCTCGTTTTGGGCACAGCTGACGAGCGAAACCTATTCGCGCTGCGAATTTGTCACTGTAAATGCTGGCACATTCACTTTGGGTCGCGCTCGCTGTATCGGAGTGTCGGACTGCATATACGCAGGGCACCCAAACCGACTTTCCGACTTTGTCACTGCGCTGCCGACGTAGCACTGTGCAGAACGCTACTTCAGTACATCCACTTTGCACCACGAACCCACGTTCGTTCAGGGGGACCAAGCAAGCCAGAAAGTGCACGAAACGTGATGTGAGTGGGCTGGGCTCACAATCGCTCACCTAACTCCCACTCCCGTTTTTCAGACCTCGATTCTTATCATCCGCCACTCTATCTCAACTCAACATCCGAGCCTCTCTTCTAGATCGCCCTCCGCCATGGGGCATGGCATCACCATTTCGTAAGCCTGCTTTCTTAGTCGCAGTCACGCTATCGTAGTTTCGTTTTTCGTGATTTCGTTTGCTATTTTTTTTTTTTCCAGATCTCGTTTCAATCTCAAGCCATTCTACTCAAGAGCGCAGCCTCTCTTTTGGATCGCCATCCGCCATGGGCCATGGCATTAGTATTTCGTAAGCCCGCTTTCTTACTCACGCTATCTTCAGTCTTGTTTCCAGTAATTTCGTTTTCTTCGTAGATTCCCTCTTCTTAGCTCCGTTTGTTCCGATTTCTGCTTGTCCGTGTTCGTGCTGACGTGTGCATGGTCATGGCAGGCACGCTGCAGCCAGCACAAGCTCGTCATCTGCCGTTCCAGGAGCCAGCAGCAATGCGGCATTCCACATCCAAAATCTGCCACCAAACATGGCGATTTCCGTTTAGCTCCGCTTCAGGGCGCCGATGCCACGCCGCTGTCATGCCAATTGCCATGCCGCTGACACGCCAACGACAACGACGGCGCTGCTCATGGCGCTCTGGGGAACGTTGAGACATCCAGGCCACCCTCTCCCCTCCCCTTTCTGCCAGGTACCAGTGCAGCGCTTGCCCATTTGAGCATGTCTCACCCACCCCCTCCCCTCTTTCCCCACTTCCCCCCTTCTGCCAGGTGCCTTCCCATGCCCTGCATGGTGCCTTCTCATGCCCTGCCCGGTAAATTCTCATGCCCTGCATGGTGCCTTGGCATGCCCTGCCAGGTGCATTCGCATTCCCTGCATGGTGCCTTCTCATTTCCTGCCAGGTAAGGGGGTAAGGGGGTTTAGGGTGCTCCCCCCGCTCACTTGCCCTGCTCCCCCCGCTCACTTGCTCTGCTCCCCCACCCCAACTCCTCCCCTCCCCTTGCGCAGGTGCCAGTTTCTCCTGTCGCCAAGATGAAGATACTTTGCACAGGGAGCAGATGCGTTGCCAGCTGCTTGTGTGGCCGTCCCTGTTCATCCATGCGCGGGACATGAGAGAGAACAAGGGAGAGAAACAGAAGCAGGAGGAGGGAGCGCAGCGCCATGCCATGCCGCATGGCCCACCAAACCAGCCCCAGGTGCGTTGTGAGTCATTTGACCAATCCCCTCCTCTGTCCCCTTTGTTTTGAGTCATTTGACCAATCCCCTCCTCTCTCCTCTTTGTTTTGAGTCATTTGACCAATCCCCTCCTCTCTCCCCTCTGTTTTGAGTCATTTGACCAATCCCCTCCTCTCTCCTCTTTGTTTTGAGTCATTTGACCAATCCCCTCCTCTCTTCCCCCTGTTTTGAGTCATTTGACCAATCCCCTACTCTCTCCCCTCTGTTTTGAGTCATTTGACCAATCCCCTCCTCTCCCCTCTTTGTTTTGAGTCATTTGACCAATCCCCTCCTCTCTTCCCCCTGTTTTGAGTCATTTGACCAATCCCCTACTCTCTTCCCTCTGTTTTGAGTCATTTGACCAATCCCCTCATCTCTCCTATTCGTTTTGAGTCATTTAACCAATCCCCTCCTCTCTCCTCTTTGTTTCGAGTCATTTCACCAATCCCCTCCTCTCTCTCCTCTTTGTTTTGAGTCATTTGACCAATCCCCTCCTCTCTCCCCTCAGTTTTGAGTCATTTCACCAATCCCCTCCTCTCTCCTCTCTGTTTTGAGTCATTTGACCAATCCCCTCCTCTCTCCTATTTGTTTTGAGTCATTTGTCCAATCCCCTCCTCTCTCCTATTTGTTTTGAGTCATTTGACCAATCCCCTCCTCTCTCTCTGTTTTGAGTCATTTCACCTATCCCCTCCTCTCTCCTCTTTGTTTCGACTCATTTGACCAATCCCCTCCTCTCTCCCCTCAGTTTTGAGTCTTTTCACCAATCCCCTCCTCTCTCCTCTTTGTTTTGAGTCATTTGACCAATCCCCTCGTCTCTCCCCTCTGTTTTGAATCATTTGACCAATCCCCTCCTATCTCCCCTCTGTTCTGAGTCATTTGACCAATCCCCTCTTCTCTCCCCTCTGTTTTGAGCCATTTGACCAATCCCCTCCTCTCTCTCTGTTTTGAGTCATTTCACCTATCCCCTCCTCTCTCCTCTTTGTTTCGACTCATTTGACCAATCCCCTCCTCTCTCCCCTCAGTTTTGAGTCTTTTCACCAATCCCCTCCTCTCTCCTCTTTGTTTTGAGTCATTTGACCAGTCCCCTCCTCTCTCCCCTCTGTTTCGAGTCATTTGACCAATGCCTCATCTCCCCTCCCCTCCCCTCTCCTCCCTCCCTCCCTCCCTCCCTCCCCGTGTTTCAGCAGCTGCCAGCGGGGCGTGACAGTGCAGCACGGGGTGGGGCAAGCTGACGCGCACGCCCACGTGGTAAGAGTGAACCAGAACGATGCATGGATGTATGAACACAAAAGCAAAACAATGTACTAGGGCACATAAAAATCATGTGCCTTCTCATTCCCTCAAGGTGCCTTGCCGTTCCCTGCATGATGCCTTCTCATTCCTTGCATGATGCCATTTTCCTCCCCTTTCCAGCAGGTGCCAGTGCAAGGCATAATGTTTTGAGGTGTCACACTCAACACCTCCCCTCTGTCCTCCCGTTTCCAGCAGGTGCCAGTGTAGCGCATGTTGATTGAAGAGGTCTCACTCACCCCGTCCCCTCTTTCCATCCCAATATTTCCTGTTTGTTTGTTTGTTTGTCTGTTTCAGTTTGTTTTGCTTGCTTGTTTGTTGTTCCTGTGTGCATTCTTTGCTCAAGGGGAGACGTCCAAGCCACCCTCTCCCCTCCCCTTTCTGCCAGCTGCCAGTGCAGCGCCTGCCCATTTGAGCTTGTCTCACCCACCCCCTCCCCTCTTTTCCCACTTTACCCCTTCTGCCAGGTGCCTTCTCATGCCCTGCAAGGTGCCTTCGCATGTTGCACGGTGCCTTCACATGCCCTGCATGGTGCCTGTTCATGCCCTGGCTGGTGGGTTGCATTCCCTGCATGGTGACTTTCATTTCCTGCCAGGTAAGGGGGTAAGGGGGTTTAGGGTGCTCCCCCCGCTCACTTGCCCTGCTCCCCCCGCTCACTTGCTCTGCTCCCCCACCCCAACTCCTCCCCTCCCCTTGCGCAGGTGCCAGTTTCTCCTGTCGCCAAGATGAAGATACTTTGCACAGGGAGCAGATGCGTTGCCAGCTGCTTGTGCGGCCGTCCCTCATCATCCATGCGCGGGACATGAGAGAGAACAAGGGAGAGAAACAGAAGCAGGAGGAGGGAGCGCAGCGCCATGCCATGCTGCATGGCCCACCAAACCGGCCCCAGGTGCGTTGTGAGTCGCCCCAGAGCATGCACTGCACACCTTGCCATATCCCTCACACCTGCCATCCCACCATGCCCTCACACCTCCTGCCATCCCCTCACTTGCCCTGCTCCCCCCGCTCACTTGCTCCGCTTCCCCTCTCCCCCACCCCAACTCCCCCCCTCCCCTTGCGCAGGTGCCAGCTTCCCTCCTGTCGCCAAGACGAAGACACTTGGCTTGCAATGTGTAGAGTGGTAGGGATTGATGAATCTGATTACGTTAGGAACATAAATGTATGAGCCTGTTATTATATGTGCAGGGGGATGGGGGGAGTGCAGGTTTGGTTTGGGCCAGGTTTGGGATATGAAAGAGTGGCAGAAACGGAAACAGGGAGTAGATGTGTTGCCACCTGCTTGTGTTCAGCCATGCGCAGGGCACGACATGAGGGAGAAGAAGAGAGAGAAACAGACGCACAAGGAGGGAGCGCATGTGCCATTTTCTCCTGTCGACAACACGAGGCTATTTGCTACGACGCGTAGAGTGATAGATGACTTAGCGAATATGAATGTATGTGCTTGTTATTATATACGCAGGCGGGCAGAGAAAGGGGGGAGGGGTGAGGGAAAAGGGAGGGGAGTGGGGAGCAGAAGCAGAACAGAAGAGGGAGTGGTGGATGAGCTCCTGGCTCTCTGTGCTGTGCGCCCCTCCCTGGTTGGCCATGCCATGCCATGCCATGCCATGCCATGCCATGCCATGCCATGCCATGCCATGCCATGCCCGAGAGGGATATGATAGATAGGGAGCACCAAGTAGAAGCAGAAGCAGGAATGTGATATGACAGGGAGCAGATATGCATGGGCCATGCCCAGGGATTTCCAGGGCGGTTCGAGGGGGGCTGTGAGGGGCTGTGAGGAGAATTGGGGGGTAGGGGGGCCTTAGGGGGGCCTTGGGGGGGCTGTGGGGGGGTTTTTTCAGGATTTTAGGGGGGTTTTCTTCCCCTCTCTTGTACCCCATTTCTGCTTATTAACCAATCACAAGCAAGCTTTCTGCCATCACCTTTCCGATTACGCTCATGTTGTCGCCTTGCCGCCTGAGGAGGGGGAGGGGAGTAAGGGGGGAAGGGAG